TTTCTTTGACAGTTTGTGCCTGAGACTCACAGTTCCAAGTTTCTTCTTCCAGTTTTTCGGTTTGCCATTCACTTATGAATGATTGTGGCTGTGCACGAAATGGTGACATGTTTCCTTCCCCTGGCCCCTGGGCTCTCCCACCCTGGGAGCTGTTAGGCTCAATGTGGGGTATACACACCTATCCTTGTATCTTGCTTAGCATCCTGAAGACTGAAAGCTCTGGATACAAATAAACCCACTGCTAAGAAACGGTAACTGAGGACTTTCACATGCTCCACCTTCTGGGAACCTCGATTTTCACTTTTCACTTTCCTCCGTGCTGAAAGGTACTTAGAAGCCAGCTAGCTACTTAAGGTAACTCTGAAGAAAACTGCTTTGTTAAGTAAAGATGACTTTTGTGAAGTGGCAAATGTCTCCCTAATTTCTCTGTTCTAAAGTGTCAGTGTTTTAGCAACATACTGTCATTCTTCAGGCAGACACCTCTTCTCACTGTCTTCCCTTCCATTTCCTGGAAAGAGAAGTAGCTCCCTTCACGTGATTGGAGCCATTTCTTCCCCTCATCTCTTACATTGTTATTTTGTTTGAATCATGTGTTTCCACGAAGCAGAGAAAAAAGTCTTGGACTTGGGAGAAAGACCCAGGTTCCCATTCCCACTTTGCCATCACTTGCTTTGAGATTTTTGACAAGTTAGTTGAACTTCCATGAGCCTCAATTTCTTGCCTATAAAAATGGGTATAAAAATACCTGCATCACTCAATTGAAATGGGATATATATATGTATATATTATATATATATATATATATATCAATGAAAATGGACTTCTTGCTAAAAAAATGAATAATGTATCATATTTGCCTATATGAGCAGAGCTTTATCCTTTCTCCTGCATTGCTGAAGACATATTTCTCAATGAAAATTTTATCTATAGTCATAAAACAAATCAGAAATACACAATGATTCTGTAAGCAACAGGCCCGAAGCCGAGACATGGGTCTGGATCTGTGGCCCCCAGTCCTTGCTTCGCTCTGCACCCTCCTGAGTTTGGCTTGCCACAGGCACTTCCTTTTGTTCTCCATGTGCCTAGCTCTTTCCATAGGCAGGACTCTGCCAAGCAGTCCCTCAGCATCCAGGACCACAGAGACTTCTAGTCCCGCCTCCCTCCTCCCCACCACTTCCCCAAGTGGAGGCAGCCTGGGGCTTGGGGGTCCTGGTTTCCTGCTGGCCTCTGTCCCTTCCTTGCCCCTCCCCACTCACCTCCCTTCCTGTGGTCTTGGTCTCCCTATTACCCTCCCTCCCCATACAGTCGGTTGCACTGCTGCTTAAATGTCACTTGTGAAACAACAGAAGGACACGCTGTTCTTGCAGCATCTTGAGAAAAAAAATTTGATCCATTTGGTGTTAAGAGCACTCACAAGAATTCAGGGCCCCTTGCCAGCCTCTTCCACTGGTGTAGTTCATGGGGGGCAACTGGGGATAAAATGAACCATCCATTCCCCCCAGCAATGTTCATTCACCCATCACTCTTATCCTGCTGGAAGCTTAAACCCAGTTTCTTTGGACTCTGCTGGATTTGAAACTGGTTTATTTTCAGGCTGGAGAGGAGTTTGATCTAGGCTTCCTCATGCCTTGGGCCATGTTCCTGAGGAACCTGCCAGGGAATGTGGCCAGGGCTGGCACTGTGCTCTGGGCCATGAGGTGCAGACCATGAGGTGTAGGGAGGGCTGGAGATACTGTGTTCCGTTGTGGCCCACAGAGCTGAGTAGAGTATGGGAGGAAAAGGTCAGATTTCCATGTGTCCCCAGTACCCCGACCCATGCCTTCTAGGTGCAGAATGTTTGCTGTAAGAAACACATGCTCAGCTTGCTACACCAGGGGTGCAAGGTCCAGGGAGCAAAGGGATGTGGCCACTTTCTCAGACTTCTCCCTGGCTGCGTTGAGATGACGTCCACACGCAAGCATATGTTAATATTGAAAACCCAGAGATCCTTCACTCATTACTCAAGGTCCAGATGAGCAGTTATGCTAGGAGTTGGAATTTTAATTAGCTGCTTGCTCTGGCCAGAACCCCTGATTGCAGCATAGTGACTGCTCATCCCTGCCCATTTGGGTTATTCTGCCATTATGACTGTGGTGCTGTGAAGTCAGGTTGTAATCTATGAACACTCGAAGCTGGGTATTTGTGGCTTTTCCACATCATCCGAGTAAGCTTCTCAGACCTCAGACGTGCCAGAGGACCCTTGGTCCAAGAGCAGGTTGGGCAGCACCAGCACATCTCCCTCCCAGATCCCTCGCTGGGTCTGTTCGTGTTCTGTGTGCTGGCAGGAGAGCTGCAGGCCATGAGCAGTATTCCTCCCATGGTCTTCCAGCCATGCTAAGAATTTGAAGGAAATGAAAAAGAGATTTTCCAGGCGGGATCGTGCACCAAAATTACCAAGAGTCCTATTTTAGCCAGTCGCTTTGACATTCCACATGGCGGGAGGCCAGCAGCTGAGGTTTGCAAAGATAGTGAGCTTCTCTAGAAACCTGTGCTGTCTGCCCTGACTTTGGATGGACCTCAGCCTCCAGGTGAACGTGGCAGAGATCATCCTTCTGAAGACAGGCAGTCCCACCCCACTGTAAGATGTGGGCAGCTGGTGGAAGTGACAGTGGACATCATCGCCCTGAACTCAGGGTAGGGATCCCCAGGTGCAGAACCTGGCTTTGTCAGTTTCACACGTGCCAGTCTCTCCTAGACAATTCTGTCCTCTCTGAAATCTCACTGATCCAGTCTGAAAAATCAGCTGGGAGACAGGCTCCTTACCCGGTTCTGCTGTTTGCACCTCTCTGTTGAATAACACATTTGAGATTCTCTTTATCTGCTTTTTCCTCACCTTTGAATTCCTCACGGAGGCTGAGCTTTGCCAGACAGACAAATCTGAAGCAAAATTAGAAGCTCTTGCCTGTGCTGACTTCTAAGGGCCTTCCTGGTTTTCTAAGAAGCAACCAAAGGAAAAAAAAAGTCAAGACTGGAGAAGCAAACTTTCAGCTAATTACCATCTTTTTCCCCTCTGAGCTCAGAGTACTGTTCTTAATTTCCTGACCAGCTTGCGCCCCTCCCCCGCTCCCTCTGAGCATCTGTGTCGGTTTCAAATTGAGCTGCGTACCTGCTGCTCTGAATTTCCAACATACCATACCAGTTGGTTTGCCAAACAGCGAACTGCCAGCCATCTGCCATCCAAAGTCAGAATTTACATTGTTTCATCTTAAAATAACGCCTCCGGAATAGCAAGCCACTCTGTGCATCAGGTTTTAAAATTGACAATCAGCCAGAATTAAAAACAAATACCAAATGGGCATAAAAAAAGAACATGGTGAGGGGGGAGAACTGACATTTGACAGAGAGTTTATTTTTCAGCATTTTTACCTGATTTTCTACCAAAATAGCCATGCCATTTAATTTTATCTACAACAGCAGGACCTACTTATAGACTAAGAACATTAACTTTTTCCTTGCTGGCACCGGATAGAAGAGGATGCCGATTAGGGAGGAGAGGGGTCCTGGTCCCAGGGCGGGCAGATCCCATCACACAGTGAAGAGGGAACACCTTGCCCAAGGACGTACGCTGGTTTGCGGGAGGGCAGCACTCACACCCACCCAGGACTCCTTGCTCCTGAGCAGGGCATCACCTGCTACCCACTTTTGCCTCCTTTGCCTGTCCCGACAGCCATTACAGCCTAGGGAGCCCTCCCCACCATCCACCTTGAGTTCCTCATGCACAACTGTAGCAGTCTTGAGGATGGACAGAGGAGAAGGGGCGCGTGGGACACGTAGGATCTATGATGTTGGCCTGTGGCCTTGGGCTCAGAGAGCCACCACTGTATCTAGATGGCTTTCCAGGGTGGGGGGGGGAGGGAGAGAGAGCGAGATTAAAAGAGATTGAAAGGGAGAAGGAAGAGAGGCTTCACGTTCCTTTTCTGGAAGCTGTTCCAGGCAAAAGCAGCTTGAGGAAAGTGTGAAGTTCTGAGTGGGCAGAGGAAGCAAAGGGCTCTATTTATACCCGAGACACCTGCCCACAGTTTGGAACTCTGTAGCGGGGCATGCTGGGCTGACTGCAAGGCTGTGGAGTCCCGGGGGGCCATGACCAAGACCTGTGAAGCCTCCTCCCTGGAATTCTGGAGCTGCAGTGGGGACCACGCAAGCCCTGCCTTGTCTGTTCTCCAGTGTTCTGAAGTACAAGTGTGCCACTGGTTCATCCGGGTCTTGACATGGGAGTCAACTGTGTTTGCTCGGTGTAGTTTGGTTTCTGGCCGGCAGGTGGCAACTCCTCAAGGGGGCTTTCTCACCTCCCCTGCACAGAGCAGCCACCCATCTTCCCACTAGTGGCTGCCAGCACCTGTGCATCAGGCCTGCGGTGCCAGGGTGTCTGGCCTTCCCCTGGGCTCCTCGTGACATGCCACAGCCATTGCCCTCATCTTGCAGGCCTTGAGCCATGTTCATGTGACCACTGGGCCACTGAGAGTACATGGGACCGAACAGATTGGACTGATATTGAGGCTCATGACCTACTGTCACCTGGGGGGAGCTGCGTCTGCCCTCCCCAGTCTCCTGAGGGCTTTACCCCATTCCTGCTGGTTACTGAGAACATGTAGGCAGTTGTGAAGGGTGTGTTGCTCCTCTTCTCACTGATATAATATACCTTGGTTTATTTATAAAAATCCTGTGAATTGGTGAGCAATTAAGGCACAGACGTGCTGGTTTTGGCCACATCACACTATACTGAGAAGCAGGAGCAGACTGGAACCTGGAACTCTTTCGTATTGCTCAGGACTCGCTAGACCATTTGGTTAGAACTGGGGACTGTCACTCTGCATGCCCGACACCCCTAGCATGGGATGAGGGTGCCAAGAGAGGAAGCCATTCTGCCATCCTGAGAAGGAGATGCCAGGATCGGGGTGGAGCATTGGTGCTCACTGACTGCAGGGCTAACTGCATGGACTGGCACTGTACCTGCCAGTGCCAGTCCATGCAGATGGATTTCAAGTGAGCGGAGCTGTTCCACAGTGGAAGCCTGTGCCCTGCCGAGCAGTGAGCCCTCTGCATGGTGGAACCAGGCAGCAGTAGAATGAGCTCTTGTCACACAGCCATGGGGAGAACACCTCAGTGGTGCCTGGGTGGGGCCAGTGTGCCTCACACATCCATCCGGACTCCACACCCATAAATTCCATATTCTGAGATGAGTCTGCAAAGCAGTGGTGGTTGTGGTGATGATGTGTTTTACAGCTTAAAATAGACTCCTCTGATTTTTACAGAGTGAATCATTTTTAAGCCTCTTCCTCCCCAGCCTTGAAAATTGGATCAGAAACGTGCAAACTAAAACAAACAAATAAATGAATTAACAAAAAAGATGGATGAAACAAGTGATTTGACTTGCTAAAAGGTGCTTTTCTTTGCAAAGTCAGAAAATGAAAGCTGTCTGTCCCAGGGACCATGGATATATGCAGAAGGGCTCCGGCCAAAGCTCGGGTTGTGTCTAATGATGTGACCTATAAAATCCTGCTCCACTATGAGTACAAACACTGTTTCCAAGATACACTGTTCTATGATAAGAAGTAAAGCTGCTTTATAAAGCAGTCATAAGACAATATCCGACCCTGAGTTAGCATTGTTACTAAGGAAACCGTTGAGACAGTATGACCATTATTATACGCACCTCCGCCTCAAGGTTGCCCTTGGCAGGAGGGGTTTCTCCTTGCAGAGTCTAGCGTCACCTCTTCCGTATCACACTGTCTTCTGTGCCAGCTGCCATGGGGGCCTGCATCCATCTGTAACAACTCTGGACATAAGTAAACAGCAGCAATGATAGATGTGTTTACAGGTTGGAAAGGAGGAGGAGGTGACCAGGTACCTGCCTCAGGTGTGTGCATTGCTTTGCATGACGTCAAGATTGTGAGACTGTGCACCTTTCCTTGGCCCCCACCCTGTCAGCCTGTGCCACACACTTCTTTGTTTGCTTTGATGTCTCTGGGCCTCCCTCCTCTGTGATCCTCTAGCCATGAGTATCTGTGTCCACAGCACATCTTTGTGGACTCTGTCCTGCAGGGCTTGTTGGTGCTGGGCAGGGCTTTCTGAAGGCTCCTGCTACATGGAGCCAGGAGATGGGACAGTAAGTTCTGAAGGTCTTTTTGCCAATATAACAGCAAGACTTCCATTCTAGAAGTCCTTGAAAGTTGAGTTAGAAAGTAGGATTCTGTGGTCTTAAGCACAGTCGTGTCGTAGAGGGCCCAACATCCCACAGGGGAATAGAAGCACAGGCATGAGGAACAGGCTAGAGAGCAAATGTCAGGATCCAAGCTCAGGATTCACAATGGCTTTGGGATGAACTCTGCTTTGTTTTGTTAAAAAACAAAAAACAATATTTTCACAGCCTGTGTATTTAACAGTGTGTTATGATAATGTTCAAAACTTTGGTATTACTTTAGGCATTAAAAGCTAAAGTGACATTTAAATATTGTTTAATTGAGGCTATTTTCATGGAAAATCTTTTTTTTAATAAATAAAAAGGAGTGGGGGGATTTAGGTTTCCATCTTCTCAAGCAAAAAAAAAAAAAAAAAAAAATAGGACTGCAGTTTATCTAGCTAAAGCTTGATCATGACACTACTGCCACCTAATGGTAGAGAGACTTAATTGCAGATAAAGTATCTAAAAAGACATCAGGCTGAAATTCTCCACAACCAAGTACAGTATAGCAAAGGAAATTTACAGAAACTGATCTTTGTAAATTGCAATCATACACAGTTAAGAGATTTTGATCTTTTGGCTTTTCTTGCCTTCTGACTTGCACTTCATTAAGATTCATCAAAAATCAAGAAAAGATAATTAAAATTATAGAAATAAACAATACCTTAAAATTTGATTTCAGGATGAAAACTATTGCTAACAATGGGAGTTGAATTAAAATAACTTCATATTTGATAGCTAATGGTTAATGATTAGTTAATGGTTAGTTGAGCCCTACTTAAACATCATCAATAATTAAGGCCTACTAAGAACAAAATGCTTAAAAATAGTAACAGGGACAAATGTATGCATATGAGAACATTTAAATCACTTTCTTATGTTTTAAAATGTCCTTGTATAACTTATTAGCAGATATGTTCATTCTTTTCATTCTTTTATGTGGTTCAAACTGAAGTACTCCTTCCTACAGACCTGATCCATGGAGCCTTCCATTATTCTGACCCCCATTCTTTTTTCGTTGGCCACTTCAGCCCCCATTATTCTCTGAGATTCTTGTGGCTGCCCCAGGGACAGGAGGAGGACCCGTGGTATTGGCATGTGCAGTGTCCTTCTGTGAATATGTCATTCAGCATGGAGATGTGGAACAGCCATCATGGAAGCAGACATTATCAATATTTCCATGGAGAATAAAGCCCTGACACTGGCTCTGGGCCCTGTGTCACACACTCTTGTGGGCCAATCATGAGAGAATGTATCTGAACTTCCACCCCATCTGCTGTCCACCATCCCAATCCATCCCCAGCTACTGGGGCTCAACCCTAGGTACATTGTACTCACCGGGGAACAGCTTGAAGTCATGCTTACTGCAGCTCTTTGTGCATCCAACAAAGATGAGGCACTCTCTGGGTCATGAGAGGAGACTGATAAAAACTGAAATCATCTGTTATTTTTAGAGTATATTATTTTGAGACAAGATCAGGAAGGAAATAAATAGCAAAAGGCATTTGAAAGTCAGAAAGGAAGTGATTTACCATCCCAGCTTCTCAAGATGGTGCAGATTTAAGGTACGGGAAGCTCATTATAGGAGAAGTCACTTTTTTAACCATCCTTCATGCTGGACCCAGGGACAATGTCCTTGGTCTCCAAACTTCTAGTGGTCAGCATGGCCCCTAACTTCCCTGACCTCATACAAAACAAATGTAAGACCAACCCAGCTTTTGTGAGATGCTCCCTACAATTCTGCAGTGACATCATTGTCTCTTATTCTCTTTGCATGGACATAAGTAAACAGCAGCAATGATAGATGTGTTTACAGGTTGGAAAGGAGGAGGTGACCAGGTACCTGCCTCAGGTGTGTGCATTGCTTTGCATGACGTCAAGATTATGAGACTGTGCACCTTTCCTTGGCCCCACCCTGTCAGCCTGTGCCACACACTTCTTTGTTTGCTTTGATGTCTCTGGGCCTCCCTCCTCTGTGATCCTCTAGCCATGAGTATCTGTGTCCACAGCACGTCTTTGTGGACTCTGTCCTGCAGGGCTTGTTGGTGCTGGGCAGGGCTTTCTGAAGGCTGTGATTGTGGGCTTGTGCAGCTTGCAGGTCAGCAGGCTTCATCCTCTCCTGCCTGCTACAAGGGAGGCTGAATGGTGCTGACATCAAAGGGATAGAAGCGGTTTCTTGTTGCTATATAAATTCAAGAATTTGACGCAGCTGTCATTGTGTTTGTGACAAGGTGACACAAATTCGGCCGAATCGTGACCTCTGGAGGGGCACTACTGTCTCCAGCCAGGCCACAGTGCCTACCTTTCACCTCCTCTCCACAGGGCTTCCTATGGGTGTGCTGACCCTGCTGGGAGCTGCTGCCACACAAGCCAGAGGGGTCCAATTAGAAATTAAGAACTAGACGATTACAATCACAGGCCTCATTGAACTGCAAGTGTTTGGAGTGATTTTGCAAGTGAACTCCATGGAGATTATTTTCACTGTGCTTGCAAGTAAGACAAACAGACGCCTTGTGCACATGTGGGGTTTGCAGTCAGAGGACACTTGTGCATTAGCATATTTTTGTTTTTATTTTCCTACAGTAACATTCCCAGTAATAGGGCAGTGATTTCTTTATTTCTATGTAAATGAACCAAATCTCAGAGAATCTTACTTATGTAACCACTGTGCAATCGAAATGATGTAATTAAAATGAATCTCCCTCAATTCATCTCTCAACCTACCACCCTCTCTCTCCCCAAACAAAGGGAATAAGCTAAGATATGAAATATGACACTGAATGATGTGAAACAGACCAGGGTGCTACAGTAATTTGCAAGTGAAGGTCGGAAAATAATTAAAATAACAGCTACCATTTCTGAATATTAAAGAGTTGAGATAGACATCTAACTCCCGTTTTGGAACTGTAATTAAGTTAAGGCCAGGATGAGGTCCTACACAGGGTTAGTGGGTGCCAAGCACTGTCCTAAGTGATGCTAAGGGACACAGCAGGATCTTAGTCCCCACCCAGTCTTTCCACTATGCACTGCTATTATTGTCTTTTTTTTTCTTTTTTTCTTTTTTCTTTTTTTTTTTTTTTTTTTAACATGGTCAACAAAGGGCTGAAAGATTAGATGAGCTGTCCACAGTAAGCCAGGAGCTGTGGTTTGAATCCACGTCTGTCCGACCAGTGCTTGGGATACCACCTCCTGCTGCTGACCCTAAGACAAAGAACAGACTCAGCCCTTGAGTGGGGTCAGGGTTGCCTGTGTGAGGAGAGAGGAACAGGGAGCTCCAGAAAGGACTGCAACGTGGCTGAAGACCCGGAGTCTATGGACCCTGGCGAGAGGTCCCACGTTAGGGCCAGAGATCAGAGAACCAAGTGGGAGGTGATGAAAATGGGCAGATTTGGAGAAGACTTGGAAGCCAGGTGAAGAGGGACAGGCAGGTGGCCTTGGAGGGCTCTGAGCAGGTACATGAGTGAGAAACAGAGGGTCTGCCAGGACTTGTGATAGGAAGTAGGGGCTGTGCAGACAGCATGGTGGCCAGGGGCTCTGGAATCCACAGAGATTGGGCCAGGCCTGGGGGCTCACTCCCTGCTGCACCAGCCTGCTCCTGGCTTCTTGAAGCACAGAGTCTCGGTGGAGGCATGTCCCCCGCCACCAGGCTGATTGATCACAGAGTCAAGCTGCCGTATGTTCCGTGTGGTGAGCTGATGGGCTTTTGTTTTCCAGGCCAAATTCCTAGGATCCTTTTGGTCCCAGACCACGTTGCCTGAGGAGTTTAAGAGAAGGAAGTAAAGCAGTGAACTCACAGAATGTACTTTGGGGATCGAATACAAAGATGTGACAGGGGAAAGAGCGATTCCCCTGGACCCAGGCCTTGGGAAATCCACTCTGCAGCTGACTCTGTGAAGCACTGTGTGAGTGAGCCCCTCAGAACTGTTCTGCACTCAGTACTTCCTGCATTCTGGGCCTCAGGGGGGACTTATGGGGGCCCCCAAGAACTCTAGGAGCAAGGTATCATGAGTCCAATTTTGGAGCTAGGCAAACTAAAGTCTGATTTTGGAATTCAGCAAACTAAGTCTTGGAAGCATTAAGTGACTTGCCAAAGTCTTGTCTAAATGACATGTAAAATGACAATGTTGGGCATTCTATATGCTTCCTACTGTCTTGTTAGAAGGATGAGAATCGGGCAGAGGTGGCTGGCCAAGTCAGGGTCTTTGCTCTGAAGCATCACAGTCCAACCATTTTGTTTCAAACTTTCCCTCTCATTTTTGCCTTTGAAATTGTCTGTGCTTTGGAATAGACAGAGGCTTCTAGCATTGACTTGCGTAGACAAATCTGTTCCTCCCCTCCCTGCCTCTTCCTCTCTTCCTCGCGTCTTCCATCCTCCTGTGTTTAAAACATTCAGGAAAGGTGAGAATAGCACCCGCTCTGCAGAATTGCCTTATTGTTCGATTTCACCAGATCGTGACAGGTAGCATCCTATGCTCACGGGGACAGCTGGTTGGGATCTCTGCCCTGTGGAATAGGTGTAAAGCCTTCCTATCAGAGGTAGTCCCATAATTTTATTTGCGGAACTGAATTTGTATGTTGACATTT